GAATGCAATGCCCTCGCCTGATCCACGTTTGATGCAGCTCACCGCGGCCATGACCTGCCACTTCACTAGCCCTGCCTGCCCTTGCGAGGGGATACATGGGCTACATGGAGGAGGACTACATGGCCATAGATGGGGTGCAGATGGGTGTCGCTCTTGACCACGATGTGCTTGTCATGTTGCACTGGTGCCGCATATTGTTTGCCTTGGCACGCTCCGTCAGAATGGTTGTGGGAGATGCATGAATTCGCCCCAGGCTTCATTTCTTGCTACTGATCGTTTTCACCATTTCCAGTCCAACATTACTTGATGATACTCGGTCATTCTGCTCTGCTTGTGGTGGTGCAGCTTCTTGTGCTGCTGCTGCCGCCGTTGCTATCGTCATCATGGTCTCTGCTGCTGCAGCTACTACAATTGCTGCTGTTGCTGTCTCTCTTCCCGGCGGCTGCGGCGGTGGTGGTGATNNTGGCTGTGGTGATGGTGGTGGTGGTACTGTCACATGTCAGTGTTACTTATTTGCAGTCAACGAGCACCTGTTTTGTTACCCAGCGCCTGCGTTGTTGTTGCTGCCCAGGCTGCGATGCAATTGGCGGCCTCACGGGTATCTGGGAGAACGAGGCAGTCGACACCTCAGAGACACGATATAGCTGATGTGATGGTACACGTTCACAGACCAGGCAACAGGATAGGCATCACAAAAAATCAGGATCAACAACAAGCAAATCAGGGCCAACAAAATCAAATATATATATATATATCTCAATTAAGCAAACGGAAGAAGAAGCCGACAATTCGGGAAAGGGATGAAACGTATTTTGCAGCCAGATGAAATGATGGTAGGAGGGAGAGCAAGACGGAAGACACAAGGAAACAGCAGCTTCTTAAGACGTCTGCATGTTGCAAATCCCAGTATCTGCAACCTTGCAAATACTTCAAGTTGAAAGACCAGCCGCAGCAAGGAAACCTGCAAGCTTGAAGGACTTCAAATGCTGTGAGTTGCTGTACCTGCAGGCGTAGAAGATTATCAGATGTATCTACAACCCTGGACCAGCTCGAGCTGCTGTTGTTTGCGGTATCTGCGGTATTTGCCAACCTCCAGAAGTCGTAAATGACTGTGCCGGCAAGCTTTGAAGAGCTCCAAATGCTGTGACCTGCTGGTTCTTTTTCCAATTTGACCCGTTGACTTCTGATGAGTCTTCAATGGCTGCTACATTCCTCATCATTGCTCAATGGTTCGCATGGGGTTGCACCCCGCCATCAAGAGCGGCTTCAGTTGAGGATGCATCGTGTCTCCCAGCATAGCAAATGCGACCGGATGCACCAACAATCTCCTGTACAACCATAAGGAAGTTGATGATGTTTGAACTAGAACATGAACAGAAAGCTAGTCCGTTGCCTTCGTGTAAAAGTAAAACTTCCAGAACCACATTTTGACGCTTTGAAGTCTAGCAACAGGTCCCCAGGCTCCAAGCCTGAGGCAGCGCGCATTTTTGTAATCGAAGCTGGCGCAGCAACAACGACATTAAGGCGATGATGATCGAGACTATGATGTTGATTGCATGAAGCTGGGCTTGGCAAGCCGTAGCCCCCTTGCTGCCCCTCGTAAGTGTTCACCTCAATGATCTTTCAGGTAAATCTTGCATGGGCTTGAGCGCTAGGTTACCAGGACTTCTTGTTAAAGGGGCTGACCAGTCTCATTGCTGCAAAGATGAGGACAGAATAAAAACCTGCTTGCGTGCCATGCCTCGTGCTACTGACATGTACTTTACTTAGCTAGCTATGTATAAATGCTGCAAAACCGTTAGGAAGAGCCTGACACGACGATGCTGTTCAGGTAACAAGGATTTCTCTGGGGTCATTTGCACAACCACTTGACAAATGACCCCTTATGACAGCCGGGAATCGAAGAGTGAATCTTCGGTTCCAGCCACGCTCCTGGGTGGTCTGCCAAACGGCGGGGGCTGCGCTCCCACACTCCCCACCCATGTGCCGTTCTGAAGACAGGCAGTACTTCAACTCCCAAACTCTTCAGCTGCCACCACATTCCTGGCTGCAGCGGCTGTGCCCTCCGAATTGTTGCATAACATGGTCGTCTCACTTCCCCTATGGTTTGCAAAGGCGGAGGTGCAGTACCGTATCTTGATCTTGAGGCATAAGGCCTTGTCAAATACGGCCATGGCCTTCGCTGTGCCACCTATAAGCAAGCATTTTACATAATGTACCCCAACAGAACT